TTCTGATGCTCATTCATGTAATAAAATTTCTGGCATTTAAATTTGAAGGGCTTGTTTGTGTATTTTGCCATTGATGCTCAAGCCTCACATTTAATGGAGGATTCTTGATTACCCCTTCAAAACCTTCTCTGTTAAGCCCTAATCAAGATTATAGCCGCATCATCTTTATTTTTAACGTCCGTATTTCATTTTTCTGGAAATTCTGGTTCTCCCTTGTCCAAATACAGAAAAAAACCTACCCATTTTGCAATGTATCATCAGTCATATTTCTTGCTGTCTTCAGATCTTCTGTGTTCTTATTTAAAGCTGCACAATCTCTTGATTTTCCCTTAGCTGCACTTTTTGACTGGTTTAATATTGAGATCAAATGCCCAATTCTTGTCTATCACACTTTGTATCAATGTCTAGGTAAGAATTATCATTTTGTTTCTTCATCAAATTGCAATATGTAAATTAAGAGAGGAATTGAAGAGTAGTTTCTTATTTACTATTCAATGGAAAACGAAGATACATATACACATACAATCCGTCTAATTAAGGTATGTTAATCTGTCTAATTAAGGTATATCTAATCACGTTAATTAGCTACCGTAATTAGGCTAATTAGCTAGTAATCATCCCTTAATGTCATAACACTCCCCCTCAAGTTGGCGCATAGATATTAATCATGCCCAACTTGTTACAAAGATATTCAATTCTAGTCCCATTTAATGCCTTTGTGAAGATGTCCCCAAGTTTCTCTCCAGTCTTCACATAACCAGTAGAGATTAAGTTTTCCTGGATTTTCTCACGAATGAAATGATAGTCGACCTCAATGTGTTTAGTCCTTTCATGGTATACTGGATTTGAGGCGATATGAAGAGCAGCTTGGTTGTCACACCAGAGTTTTGATGGTACCGAAGGCTTCAATCCAACCTCAGCTAGAAGATGTTGTATCCATAGAATTTCACATGTAGCCTGTGCCATGGCTCTGTACTCTGACTCTGCACTTGATCGGGATACGACATTTTTCTTCTTGCTCCTCCAGGACACAAGGTTTCCACCAACAAAGACGCAATATCTTGTAGTGGATCGTCTATCAATTTTGGATCCAGCCCAATCAGCATCTGCAAAACCCTCAATACAAGTGTGTCCATGATTGCTATACACTATGCCAAGACCAGGAGCTCTTTTCAAGTAACACAGTATATGTTCCAAGGCTGCCCAATGTGTTACTGTAGGTGCAGACATAAATTGGCTGACAATACTGACTGCATGAGCAATATCTGGACGAGTCACCGGGATCATCAAAGGAATCACCGTCCCCTTTTGTAAGATGTACATTGGGAACCATTGGTGTGCTGCATGGCTTGGCTCCCTTCTTTCCTGTTTCTGCCAGCAGATCAAGTACATACTTTCTTTGAGACAAGAAGATGCCTTTTTTGCTTCTTGTTACTTCTATTCCCAGAAAGTATTTTAGTTGGCCCAAGTCTTTTGTGTGAAACTTGGTATGTAGAAATAACTTAAGAGAGGAGATTCCTGCCCAATCATCTCCTGTAATGACAATGTCATCAACATAAACAACAAGAAGAATGATGCCAGCTTTTGACTGTCTATAGAAGACTGAGTGATCACACTTGCTCTTCTTCAACCCAAACTTCTGAACCACCTCACTAAACTTGCCAAACCAGGCACGGGGACTCTGTTTTAGACAATACAGAGATTACTACAGATAACAAACTTTCCCATACTCCCCCTGAGCAACAAACCCAGGTGGTTGCTCCATATACACCTCTTCCTGGAGATCACCATGAAGGAATGCATTCTTGATGTCTAACTGGCGTAAGGGCCAATCTTGAGAAGCAGCGATGGATATAAATAGTCGGACAGAGGTAAGTTTGGCCACCGGAGAGAAGGTATCTGAATAATCCACTCCATAAGTCTGAGCATATCCTTTTGCAACAAGTCTGGCTTTAAGTCT